GGCATACATGCCGTGACACAGCAGTCCAGTTTGGCGGAATACTGCAATTTTTTTTATTTAAGATTATTTTTGTTCGACGTTTATTTTTTTTATTCTTCCATTGCGTCTGATTTCTTGACTCGGACATTAAAAAAAATTGAGAGAAAAAGTCATTGAAAGTTTTAATTAAAGCCAAAATAAATATGCTATTATTAATGAAATAAATATTACTACAACTATTGGCACCATAGGCCTTATTCAAAATTAAAACTTAAATCATAAAGGCAAAGCAATATTGATCAAATCATTCTTTGCCTTAGGTTTTTCTTTTTTCTTCTCAACTATGTTGGCCTTTACTATTAGTGTATCCTTAGTAGCTCGAACCGTCACACCTTGAGTAGGACCTTCACCTCTTTCACCTCTTTTATGATTCTTAGGTTGCTTCTCCATATAAACCATCTTTTCCTTACCCTTTCCTTTTACCAAACTCTTCTTCCTAGGCATGATTGGAGTCTTAAACTTAATTCCTTGTGATCTCGGACCAAGACGATCTTTAGGGGGCACTTTCTTACTCCCAATTCGTCCCTTCACATCAACATCAAACTTGCGTGATCCAACTCGCTCCCTCCTACTTCGAGGATTTAACCATGCTCTGTATTCACTAGATAAGGGTGGAGGAGGTTAATCGCTCGCAGAAACGGTCCACATTGGTGTTTTAATCTAGTATGCCTCATATTTGTGAACATTACTTTCATATAATGATACTTCACGAGGACTATCATTATAGCGTGGAACTACTTATTCAAGTCCGTATTGTTGCATCAATCGGGAAGGACAATAAAAAGTCAATTTTGGAAGGCCAAGAACACGACAATATGGAGTCTCATTCGTCTTAGTAAGCCTCCACCAAGGCACCACCCACCTAATGGAAAATTCCCTTCTTGCATAAAATAGCTTCCAGTCATCATAAGATATGTTTGCAGGGTAGTTTTTCTTCCTACGAACAAGATCATTGGGACCATATTTTTCAATATTGTTGGGGGCTTCAAGAAGTCCTAATCGTTCCATCAACCAAATCTGCAAAAATAAAAAAAAAATAAAAAATAAAAAAATAAAAAAACACAGATAGTTAGTATCACATTATAAAATAATTATTTTTGATTCAAAGATCAGGAATTTTAGTTTTTACCTGCCAGAGAGCCCTTCATGACGACTTTCCGATCAGATTTTGCTTCAACGAGGCCACGCCGAGTTTCTCTAAGGGAAATAGGCATAGGGGATCTTCCAGATTCAAAATGTTCAAGCACAAAAATTAGACTAGCATGTCTTACTCTACCATTTGCAAAAGCTTGCTAAACATGTAAAAAATATAAGCTTTCCTTTTATATACATGATATGATTCAGAGACAAGATGATTAAAGAATAAATTTGAAATCTTTTCTAGATCTACTTCTTTAGCACATATAATTTTATTCAAGTCTGTGCCTGTCAGGTTGAGATGACGCTCAAAATCATGGTAGTAGTACTCACGCACAGTAGGCATTGCAATAAGGACTCTAGTAGGAAAGCTAAAAATAGCACCGAATTCTTCCGGCAACGTACAAATTTCATCATAATAAAACTTGAAACAATGAGTTTCTGGATTCCAATAATCCAAGGCCGCTCACAGAAAATCATGTTCAATTGCTACATGCCTTAATGTTAATAATCCTTTGACATAGAATGTTTCTAGCTCTCTTTTCTCTGCGTTGGTCAATGAATACGACCAATCACGCATTATGTTGTCAAAAGTTTGAGACATTGTTATTGAAATAAGAAATTCCAGCTATTTTGTTCTTTGTAATGGTGCAAATCACGAAATATTGGTCGACATTTATAGCCAAAAAGAGCCAGAATCGAGGAAAATTTATCCTGCTGCACCCGCAAAGTCACCGTGACACGGCAAAAATACCGCGTCACGACAAAAGCTATCGTGTCGTGGCAAAACCTGCCGTGACATGGTATCTGCTACGTGTCGCGGCGTTGTATCTGCATCAAATCTTATCCATGGCCTTGTTATTCCGGAATTTCTTTTACTTTTTTAATCCTCTGTTCTCCCTAATCGATTTTTATTAAAACTCTTTTTCATTCAACTATTTTATTACAAATAAAACTGTACTCTTTTTTATTTTATTATTTTTTTATTGAGGGAAAGTTTTAAAACTTGTCTCATTTCTTATTCTTTTTTATTTTAAGGGAAGTTGTAAAACTTAGCCCATTTCTTATTCTTTTTTTTTTTATTTTTAGGGAAGTTGTAAAACTTTTAAGATCTTTTACGTTTTTCATTTTTTGGAGAAGGTTGGTACCCTTCACTTATGAAAAATAACGGAATTTTTTCGTGTCGTTAATTATACACAATCATACACAAATAGTCACATGCACATACTAACATATACATCAAATAAATAAAGCATCGAATGTATAAACTGTGAATAAAATGTACAAGGTGAGTCATGATACAATAAGTAGTGTCATGTGTCATCAACAAGTACACAATAAAATCCCTCGGTCAAGAATCTCTAGATCTAGATGAACTAGGTACAAACTTCGGGTCTAACTCTCTCTGGCTCTGATAGGGATATGGCCCGCCGAAAAGTCCTTCCCTCATCCGAGTACGCAGGGTCGCATCCCTGCTCGGCTCCACAGCTCTTGTAGAAGTCAACGTCAAAGAAGGCCCTGACCAACCGGTGAACTGCATATATGCTGAAATGGCGGACTCCAAGGCATAGGCATCGTCGGTGGAGGCATTGTCCCAAACACCGTAACCGAGTGTAAACCCTTGTCCACAGAATAAATGACTGGCCTAAGCACAGGATGCGGAGGCTAAAAAGGCTGAGTTGGGTGTGGTTGCTGCCGCCGAGACTGCGAATGTCGCTGGGTCTGTGGGGATCGTTGGCGACGGCTAGACTCTCCCTCGCTGAGCCTCCATTCCTCGGACGCGAGTGAGACCTCCGCTGCTCCTGAAAAACAAAAATAAAGAAATGATCAGCGATGCAAAACAGCAAAATACTGAAATGAAAATATTCAAGTATAAACATACCACATGGACGTTATCCGGATTACTCCAATAGCTCACACCATGCCGTAAGTTGATAAAGCAGTACTTCAAGGCGTCAATAACCCACATCATGCTCATCACGTCCGAATGCTGAACCTAGAAGCAAAAACATCAAGTCAGTAACAAGTAATATCAAACAAAGCCAAATCTTCACCCGGGAACTTACCGGATCTAAGTCCTCAGGACATGACACCTGGGCCTGTCTATAGCCCTCGACGCATCACCGATATGCTCCTCGACCATACCGATCGGCCCCAGATAGCGAACCGACTGGGATGGGATCTGAAGCCTTCCACTACGATGAGCGGTCACCTAAAACATGATCGAATAATTAAGTTATTCGACGGTTTAATAGAGTGACTACAATAAAAACATATCTCCCAATGATCAAACCTGAGGAAGAAGTGGTGGTGGAGCTAAGTAACAAAGCAACTACCGAGAATAGTCAGCGTCCATGTGCGTAAGCTCTCGCCAAGAGTTCCGAAGGCGACCTTCATTGTGTAAAAGCGCCTCCAATGAATGCACATTCAACATCGATGAAGGTGGAAGTACTGGAACCACAAAGTGACCAGTACTATGCTGCCAGGTCACTCGTTCCCCTAAATACCAAACAGAGCGCGCAATGCGAAAGAAGACAACACAATACGTTGAGAGATTTAAAGCCTCTAGAAGATCGACAAGGTTGACCTAGGGACAATACCGAATCTCGATCGGAACTTGAAAAGACGAAAATGGGGTGAATGCTAAGGCATGATGACAAGATAAGGAGAATAGAACAAAGAGGTAGTCCTTACACCAATAGCGGTGTTACCCCAACGTAATAGCCCAGGAAGACTCGTCACTAACTCCACGCAAGACTCGCCCCATAGGCGCCAGCTCGCGCCAATGGGAAAACCGCAAACTACTCCCTGATGCCACCAAGGAGCCAATCCCGGGAAGTACTGGTAGAACCACAGCTGCAACAAGAGCAATCTATGAGTTCACGAACGAAAGAAGTAAATCAAAACAAAAGAAAAGGGATCATCACCTCAACAACCCTCCAAAGACCGCAGACGGTGACATGAGTCTAGTCGTTCAACTACCGACAGCCCTCACGCAGCGACATAAGCAAATCAGCAAACCGCAGGCCGACCTAGTTAAAGGACCCAATCTTAGCAATCCGGACTAGGAAGGCAGGTAGCGGAGAAGTGCACGAGAACTCTTATTAGGGGAGAGAGTCCTAGAGATAAGAATCAAGACGAAAATCCGCACACATTGCTCAGGCGTCGTCTCTGCCATGTCAAGACCTTGAGCTAAAGTAAATACTAATTATCACCGTTGACTCTGACGACTACTCTAAGATAGCTGTTGGGTCCTAATAGCCTGTACAACGAGGCCTAACCAAGCCCCTACATCACTCGAACACCAAGTAAGCTCAGGTCTTTGCTGAATGGCTCGATCTGTGAAACGCAGGCTGCTAATAATGCTGAAGTCTACAGAGGTCACTGTCATCTCCTTCCAAGCAAAGTGAAATGTGTTGGTAGTATCCCAAAAATACTCCAACAAGGCTCGAATAATGGTCAAACCGTAGCCTCGGGGGCTGTAAAATTCAAAAACCGCTAAGTAGAAGTCACCTAGACCGGTAGACTCTTGCTCGTAGAAGCCCGGGGCTCGGGCTTTGAAATCTCGTCCTCCTCTTCCTCCGGTGGTGAAGGAGTGTCCCTTTAGTAGAAAAAAACGTCTTTTACCTTAATGCTTCGGTTAATTAGTTAAAAAGAGCACATTTAGCATAATTCTGTACTTAAATAGAAAACAAATAAAATGCTTTGGTTAAAAATAAAAAAGGAGCATTTAAACTAATATAATCTGTTCCTTTAGAAAACCAGGAGTGTTTTGTTGTAAATACACCGGTTTTTTTAACCGAAGTATTTTTAAAAGTGAAGAGCGCCCAAATTAAATTAGCTAGGGCTCAACAGTAACATTTCGTTCTCTCTTTCCTTCACGCTACATCTCTTTCTCAAATCTCCTTGAAGATGCGCCGATCCTTCCTTCCTCCTCACGTTTTGCCGCCGATCCTTTCTTCTCAGTTGGCGGTGGTGCTGCTCTTCTTTCCTCCTTAGCTTGCCGCCGGTCTTCATTGTTTTAATTTCTTGCGCCATTGTTATCTTGCTCGGTTAGAAAGCAATTTTGTTTGCTAAATGGCGTGAAAGTTGTTGCTCTTTCTTCCTTCCCCCTCACCTACGGGCGACAAGAAGTATTCAGCAAGTAATTTCGTGCTTTCAATTTCATGGTAAGTCTCTTATATTTCCCCTCTATTTTCTTATAATTCCTTAATCTAAGTTTCAATTAATGACTTTATCAATTTTCTAATTGATTTCAGATGTTAATTGGTGTTTAAATTTCAATTTGAGTTTTGATTTATGGTTATTAATTACAGACAATCCCTTGTTAAATTTAGTTCAAGTTCAATTTGCTGATCTCTACCGGAATGGAGTTGCCGCCAGGTCGCCTGGGGTAAAAGCTACTGCCATTAACGCCCCTTCATTACCCCTTGAAAAAACCGCCTATACCAAACGACGTACCCCTTCAGTTTCTCCTTTCAATATATAATGGATTGATTCCTCCCCAATTCGTCACTATTAATAGATTGATCCTCTCTCACCCTCTACCAGACTATCTCTCTGATTTTTTCAAGGTTAGTTGTTATTTTCCTTCCCCTTAATTTTCTTAAATTTTTAGTACATTTTAATGTTTAAATTTTGTCTAAAGTTTTTCCTTTAATGTGTTATTTGAACTCTTAAACTGGGGATGCTAAGCTAATAATTTACAATTTTTATGTCATAATCTTTACTTATTTTTGCCATTTTTGTAATTAATTAAACGAAGTTGAATTGAAGGTGTGTTTTTGTGTTATTTATTAGTAATCATGTTTGTAAATGTATACTCAAATGCCAATTGTGCAAATAAATATTATTTTTGTGGATTTATTGATTTTTTTTAAAGTTGTTGTTAAGTTGAATTGAGGGTGTGTTTCTGTATAATTTCTTGGTAGTGATTTTTTCGAATGTAATTCATATGCCAATTGTGCAATTAAATTTAATATTGCAGAATTTGTTGATTTTTTTAATGTTAGTTGTTTGAATTATGTTGGAAGAAAACGGATGCAGTTTGTGGTGATATAAATGTGTGTCATGTTTACTTAACTTTGAAAATTTCTACATCATAATTTTTTTCCCTATTTGCAATTATTATGTTGAAGGTTCTTTTTCTAATACTTGATATTTCGTCTCTTTAATCTGTCAATTATTTCAACCTTCATTGACAGTTCAGCACTTATTTTTTTTTTTTTTTTTGAATTTTGCGTGTTATTTGAAGTCTCTTATATTTGTTGTTGTTTGAAGTTGTAATGTGATAGATACTGCTTATTTTTTTTGTTCATGTTTCTGTTTTTTTTTTTTTTTTTTTTTTTTTTTTTTTTTTTTTTTTATTTTATAATTTAAGTAAATTTAAAGAATTTAACGAAATAAAGTCTAGATATGTAATTTGAATCTTGTATTTTTGATTAGCAGCTTAAAAAATAAATGGTCGTTTTGCATGTTGTGATTTTCAATTCAATTTATAAATAAAATGAAAGTTAAGATTTAGAACCAAATTTTTAATTAAAAAAAAAATAAAAATTTAGAATCACATTACAATGAAATGTAATTTTGCTCTTTTCTCCATTTCTAATGAATTATGTTGCTCTTTTGAATAAATAAATTGTTTGAAATGTATTAACTAATCATTTGCATTATCATGTGCCTAGAAACAACATTAAAAAAAAAAAAAACAAAACAAAAAGCAAATTTACAGGTTTTAGGTTCATTTATAGGGTTATGGTTCAAAATGGCCAAAATGACTTCTAATTTGCCGATTTTTCATAATTTTAGAACAACGGTTGAATTAAAAACTATAATACACCTAAGATACTTAGTTATGAATATTTATGGCTTGAAACAACATAAAAAGAGCATATTTACAAGATTTAGGTTCATTTAGAGTATTAATGGTTAAAAATGGCCAAAATGCGTTCAAAGTTGCCCATTTTTCTTGATTTTAGCTCAATGCTTGAGTAAACACCAATAATAAAACTAAGAAACTAAGTTACGAATATTTACGCCTTAAAACAGCATAAAAAAGAAAATTTACAAGTTTAAGCTTCATTAAGAGTATTAATTGTTCAAAATGGCCAAAATGGCTTCAAACTTGTACATTTTTCATGATTTTAGCTCAATGCTTGAATTAAAACATGTAATACACCTAAGATACTTAGTTATGGATATTTATAGCTTGAAACAACATGAAAAGAGCATATTTACAAGTTTTAGGTTCATTTAAAGTATTAATGGTTCAAAATGGCCAAAATGACTTATAACTTGCCCATTTTTCATGATTTTAGGTCACTGGTTGAATTAACACTTAAAATACACCTAAGATACTTAGTTATTAATATTTATGGCTTGAAACAACATAAAATGAGCATATTTACAACTTTTAGGTTCATTTAGAATATTAATTGTTCAAAATGGCTAAAATGCATTCTAACTAGCCCATTTTTCCTGATTTTAACTCAATACTTGAATTAACACCGATAATACACCTAAGAAACTTAGTTATGAATATTTTTTGGCTTGAAACAAAATGGAAAAAAAAAAAAAAGCAATTTTACAAATTTTAGGTTCATTTTGAGTGTTAATGGTTCAGAATGGCTAAATTGACTTCTAACTTGCTCATTTTTCATGATTTTAGGTCAATGATTGAATTAACGCCTATAGCACACTTAAGATACTTAGTTATGAAAATGTATGGCTTGAAACAACTTTTAAAAAGAATATTCAAATTTTAGATTCATTTAGAGTATTAATGGTTCAAAATGGCCTGAATGACTTCTAACTTGCACATTTTTCAAGATTTTGGCTCAATACTTGAATTAACACCTATAATACACCTAAGATAATTTGTTTTGAATATTTATGGCTTGAAACAACTTAACAAGAGTACATTTACAAGTTTTAGGTTCATTTACAGTATTAATGGTTCAAAATGGCCTAAATGACTTCTAACTTGCCCATTTTTCATGATTTTAACTCAATGCTTGAATTAACTCCTGTAATACACCTAAGATACTTTGTTATGTATATTTATGGCTTGAAACAACATAAAAAAGTAAATTAACAAGTTATAGGTTCATTTAGAGTAATAATTGTTCAAAATGGCCAAAATGAGTTCTAACTTGCTCATTTTTCAAAATTTTAGCTCAATGCTTGGATTTACACCTATAATACACCTAAGAAACTTAGTTATGAATATTTGTAACTTGAAACAACATAAAAAAAAAAATTAAATAAATATAGAAAAAAAAATAAAAATAAAGTAAAAAAAAAAAACCAATTTTACAAGTTTTAGGTTCATTTACAGTGTTAATGGTTCAAAATGGCCAAAATGACTTTTAACTTGCCAAATTTTCATGATTTTAGCTCAACGGTTGAATTAACAGCTATAATACATCTAACATACATAGTTATGAATATTTATGGCCTGAAACAACATAAAAAAAAAGGGCAAATTTACAAGTTTTAGGTTCATTTTGAGTATTAATGGTTCAAAATGGCGTAAATGACTTCTAACTTTCCCATTTTTCATGATTTTACGTCAATGATTTAAAAACACTTATAATACACCTAAGATACTTAGTTATGAATATTTATGGCTTCAAACAACATAAAAAAAAAAAACAAATATACAAGTTTTAGGTTCATTTAGAGTATTAATGGTTCAAAATGGCCAAAATGACTTCTAAATTTCCCGTTTTTCATGATTTTATCTCAATGGTTGAATTAACACCTATAATACACCTATAATACTTATATAAGAATATTTATGGCTTGAAACACCAAAAAAAAGAGCATATTTATAAGTTTTAGGTTCATTTAGAGTATTAATGGTTCAAAATGGCCTAAATGACTTCTTACTAGCCCATTTTTCATGATTTAGCTCAATGCTTGAATAAACATCTGTAATACACCTTAGATAACTTTTTATGAGTATTAATGGCTTAAAACAACATAAAAGAGCAAATTTACGAGTTGTAGATTCATTTAGAGTATTAATGGTTCTAAATGACTTCTAATTTGCCCATTTTTAACGATTTAACTCAATACTTGAATTTTAACTCCTATATTTTTATTAAATTGTGATTGTAATTGTCTTTTATATTGATCTCTCTTATGTTAGGTTTATAATACCCAAATGCTTGAGCCTTTCAGTGCTAGCGAGATAGATGAAATACGAGACATGTTTGCTTTGTTTATGCTCAATAATTATATTTGAATGCCTTTAGAACGTTATTAGTAGTTAGTACTCTTTATTTGAACTTAGAAATATATGTGTATTATGTAATTTGTATTTCAACTTTCTTTATTTGTAGGTACAATTATTTACATGATTTTATTATTTAAAATATATAATATTATGTTATTATAGTCAATATTGATTTAGTACAGCTAGATAACTCGTAGAGGGCGCAGAAATATCAGTTACTGGGCTATAATTAAACATTGGTGCGAAAAGATCCAATACTATATATATATATATATATATATATATATATATGTATGTATGTATGTATGTATGTATACGTATATATATATGTATATGTATATATATGTATATATACACAAAAGGCTCCAGTCAAGATATAAAATCGGAGCTTAACTCATGAAAATGCTCCGGTTTTTTAACAGAACCGAAGCATTAAGTTGGTTATATGCTCCGAGTTTGAAGCGTTTGAAGCTGGACCTGAGCCTTATCTTAGTTTATGCTCCTGTTCAAAACCGGAGTATTTTCAACCCGTAATCTGCTATGTCCACTATTGATGCGGTTCAAAACCGGAACATATATGGCTATTTTAATCGGAGCATTTGAAGTTTTTTCTTCTAGTGTCCTCTTTGTAGGCCTGACGTTGGCCGCGAGCGAAAACGTCTCTATCTCGTAGACAAGGCATGCTATTTGGTTAAGAAAAAGAAATAAAAATCTAAATATTTGACATCATTTCCTAAGTTATTTAGTCATTTGCTCAAAAAAGTTTAGGAGGCAACCTAAGGCTACATTTTCTGTTATACGCTAAAATTTTACCTCATGGCTAAAAATTAGCAAAATAATGGAATCGTTTCTAGTACTTAATTTTTCCATGAAACTAATGCTACAGTTCTCCTAGCCGCATGATACTATGTTCTCCATGACAATGTAGTACATGTACAAAAACAGTGCAAGTTTTAAAATTGCACAAAAACAACAGATCTGCATAACAAAGCATTTTTTACAAGATCTACAGCAGTTACATTGTCATTTCAAGTGCAAAATGACAAGAACAACATTCACGAACAAGGTAGTACCAAAAATGGGGAATTGTTCATTTCTTCATCAAATCAAGTAAATTTGGTCTCAAATCACTCACAAATAAGTACACATTCATAAACAAGCAAAATCATAACAAGAATTTCTACATAAATCATCAAAATAAAAATAAACCCCAATTTGATTTTTTTAGGGTTTCCACACAAAAATCCCATATCTACAGCAAAAATTCAAAGCAAAAGTTTAAAAAAACCTTACACGGATCTGTGTAGAAATTCGAAAATGAGAAGCTATGCAAAAGATATGAGAAAAATTGGTGAAGATTTGATTGAGAATGGCTCGAAAAACAGCAGCAACAGTGCGGAGAACTCGAGTAGCGCAAATGATCTAGAAATGAAAAAAAACATGCTTCGCTCGAATTTAGAACAAAAGAAAGAATCGCCGTGTCACGGCATGTACACCGCATAACGGCAACACATGTCGCGTGACAGCAAAAATTACCATGTCACGGCAATTCACCACGTGGCGCGACAAATCTGCGTGTTCTCCAATTTTTCAATGAATATTCCCCATGTGCTTTGACCAGTTTGAACGAATTTCCGCTACTACTTGACAGTTATTTCTTCACCGAAAACTCACGGGAAATTCCAACTGATGTTTAAATGGCATCAAAATTACCATTTTTTCCCCAACAAATATCGGTATCATATTTTCATCACTTCAAGCACCTAATACAACCGAACATGCGCGGCTTGAAGGTCTCAACATCAACAAAACATACTGCAACCACTGTTTAGATACAATCGAATAAGCACCAACAAACATTTATCAAACATTTGGTGATCATCTCCCGAGGCAAGGACGATTCACGTTGCAAGGAAGGATCTCGAAATACAGAGACTTGTAATTTCTCATCATCAGACAAGCTTTTCCCGAGGCGTGGAAAATTGTCGGTTGTTGCACACTTCTCGAGGCACAGAAGTTGGCGATTTTGTCCCAAGGCGTAGGAGCTCACGATCGGGTTCCCGAGGCGTGGCAAATTTATCATCTGATAGAGTTCTCGAGGCATGTAAACTATTTCTTATCAATCTTCCCGAGGCGTGGAAACTATCTCATATCAATCTTTCCAAGATGTGGAAAATTATCATCTGGTGGATTTCTTAAGGCATAGAAAACTAAAAAATATATTTGCCACAGGTACACTGGTGTCAGATACGCATTCTATATTTTCACTCTTTTATATGTGGAACTAACGCTTTTTTGCAGGTATCGGCGTATACTGATTGATTTAGGATCACAGAACGTCTTAAATCATTCTCCGTCCCTATCAACTACTTTGACTATCATTTTCGAAACTTACGTTTCTACAAACTAAGTCAAAGTAGGAGCTTCTGCAAACATTTAAAAATGTCTCCCTATAACCAAACTTGATGATGAACAACCTTTCACCGCCATTATTGGTCGGGTCGAGTATTTAATCTCGGGAGTGCTTAAAATCGATGTTAATTCAAACACAGCTTACAAATCAGTCCAAGCATTTAGTCAAACTTTGTCTAACTCACATTTCAGCCCAAACCCTTTTTAATTCATTTCGTGTTTTTTTATTAATTGAGCCCAATTAATAAGATAATAAAACCCTAAACCTGAAATAAGCCTGGAAGAGCTCAAACGACGCCAAAATATCACGTACTTGATACTTAAGGAAAAGGTTAAAATGAATTTGGATGAATTTCTAGAAAATTGATTTGCCGTGTCACAGCCGAAATGTCGCACCACGGCAATCTCTGCAATGTCACAGTAAATTGCATCGTGTCGCGGCAATTTCTGCCGTGACGTAAAAAATTTTTAGGGTTTCTCCGCGGAGCATTTTAAATTCTAGGATTTTGTGCATCACCTTACTCATTTCCTCTATAAATACGAGGCTGATTTCACCAGTTTTGGGGCACCAAATCATTTTCTCTCTCTTATACTCTAGCCTAAACACTAGCCTTCCTTATTCTTTCACAATACATCATTAAGCACTCCCCAGAGTCCGTACTTCACTCGCAGTTATACGCTTAAACAAAGGCGTGAAAGGTAGAACTGTTTTAGGGTTTGGCCCCAAATCAACTCTACTTTAATTTAATTTAATTTCCATTGCTAATTATTATTTTCCTAAAAGTTACTAACGCGTTTATTGTTTTATAGTTGCAAGCAAAAGCAATCAATATAAGGAATCATGTTCCATTTGTTCCTGTTATATTTCTAACGGTTTTTGTTATGTTTTTCATATACTAATCGTTATTTTTATGGTTAAATTGCTTTCAATGTTGATGTTGATTATTATTATATTTGTGATCACCATATTGCATGTTAAAGGGAATATGTAATTGAATATAACGCATAATAAGATAATTTGGACAACCGGTTTAGGTTCTTTTTTAATCTTGTGGTTTAATCAAGTGATCACGATATTTTAGAATTATATATTGCATTAACCTAACCAATTTAGCTTAATAATAGTTTGGAGCAAATTAAATCTTTGTTTGCATGCCTTTGAGATCGCAGGAATACTCTTCATAATAAGAATCGAGTGGAGGCCAATACAGGCGAATGTGACTCCATGACTCACTTCGTACCATCATCCCTGATCCTCCTTTCGTGGTTTCGAACCATATGGAGTTAGTAGTCTCATGGATTATGAATGGGGTGTAACCTTCACGGGTTAATCGTTGTTGACTATCATTGTCCCTTTATCGTGGTTGTCTTAAATGATCCGTGAACGGTTTACAAGTTCCTTATAAACTTGTTGGCGGCTCCGTCCTTTATTTGTCCCTAATCGTATGTCAATTCCCACTTCCTATGAGTGTAAAGTATATTCAAAACATGCTTAGGTAGGCGCGCTTTGAATGACGCCTACAATTTGGCAACTCCACAGGGAGGATTCAGGGTTATTTTTCGATTTGAGTGATCGGTATTTAATTGAGATAAGTTAATGAGACTTGAAAGATTCTTGAATTGTATTCCTATGATTAACTTGGCATTTTTGCATATGCATTGTCGTTTTTAACGTCTTATTTAGGTTCACCTCGTAGGAAAAATAGAATAACCTGATCGCGAACAAAAAAAATAGAAGCACTAGTCAGATTTCCTAACTGCCGTGCCACGACAAAATTACCGTGTCACGGCACATATCACCATAACGCGGCAATCTATACCGTGACATGGTATTTGAAAAGAATGGTGTCCTTCGAACAAGTGTATTATATCGATAGAGGGTTCGAAATTATTAGAAAGCTAATTATTCAGTGAGGTCAAGTGATCGGAATGCCTAGCTGGAGGCCCATTTTGATCAGTAATATTAATGCATAATTAATATTACAGCTTAACCTTGACTAAACCCTTCGGGTCACACCCAATCAAGTAATCGAATTGAAATGACAAAATAATCCAAAGGATTAAATGAGTCATTAGAGTATTACGAACATAGAAGTCGGATTCCGAGCTTAGAGCGTCAGAAATCGAGCGTCGTATGTCGAGTCAAATTTTGGAATCGACGAGACGAGAAATCAAGCAAACAACAAGTTACAAATGTACCCCTAGCTTGGGAGTGCCCCGAGCAATCCGAGGGCTAGGGGTAATATCGCTAGCCAAAGCTACTAGCATGCATGGCATGGCCGCAAGCCCAGCCGCAAGCATTCGCATGCTAGCTAGGCAACAGCACCATGCCGAGCCGTGCTAGCAGCATGCGCATGCAAGGCATCACAAGCTAGCAGCTGGCGCACCATGCGTGCTAGCGTGCTAGCATGCTAATGCCTCGCACTCAGCAGCCCGCAAGCATCACAACAGCTAGACGGTGCTTAGTATAAGCAACACATAAGTAGTAACAGCCCGCATAACGTGCGTGGCTTGCTGGCTGTGCATGGGAATATGCAGGCAGGCTGAAAGGCAAGCCCAGCCATGGTGCTAGGCGCCAGCGAGGCTGCCATGGTTGCCAAGGCAGTCCGCCAGCAAGCACTTGCATTGGTTGGCTTGTGCGTGTGGGAGCCGGTTGTGTGTGGGTTTGCTTGGGGAGCAAGGGGAGGGTGGTCCTCCCTTGTGGTCCTCACCTAACCCCTTGCTCTCCACTTGACACTTGTTGTTTGTTGA